CTACATGTAATATTATTTACCTAAGTGGCCCTTCTGGACTATTTCATAACTCAGCTTTATAACCTTTTTAAAAAAGATCAATATTACTGAGCACACAGCCTCTGAGTGTGATGAAAGAGTCAGGCTGTTTTAGCAGTTACGGTCCATGATTTCCAGACCCGAAGTCCAGATTAGAAATGCAAAATGAGGAAAATACTTTCCCTGAAATACTAAAAAGAAAAAGTAGCCTTGGAGAGAAGGATGGAGGGAAGCAGTGAAGTAAGATGTGTTGCAAGAGATCAGTTCTTTTATTGGGCTGATACAACTAGAAAATACAGGCAGGCTTTCCAGCACATAAACCCTTCTGCAGATTCGAGAGAGAGGATGTAGTGACATTTAAAGCCACACACACAGTTTTGCCAACATGTGTCAGAGTGAATCTCCAGTAGGAGGGAACAACCAACCGCTCTATTTGCAACTTGGCAGATGGGGTGTTTTGTTGTCTGCTCTAATGTGTGATGCGAGTTGGCTGCTCGTACTGAGTCCCATCAAGTGGGAAAGGTAGCTCTTGTCTATTGATCTTGTGTTCAAGATCCAGTATTTGATTTGTTCCTCAGGTAGTCAGATGCTCACATCAGCTGGGAGCTATGAGCTCCAATATCTAAATTCAATACCCCTACAAGTCTCTGCTGCTTCCATTACACAGGGAACTCAGAAATTGGGAGCAATGGTGTTTTTCCACCTCTTAATCAGCATCGTGAAAATTCAAATGATGATAAAAGCAAATAAAAGCCAGGAAGGTCCTATTTTATAATGGGCCTAGTGGCTACATGGATGTAAACCAGCACTGGCTATCACCCTTTCAGTTATACTCATCCCATTTCATACAGGTCATTCTGATTCCCGTGAGATGGTGGCATGTGGGAGTGTGGTGTGTGTGTAAAGTGGGAAATGAGGGATCGTTCAACTGCTAACAGATCCTAAGTTTTGTAGTGAAAACTCCTGAAATTTTTAGTGGCAAAGGGCAGTGCTGCTGAGTGATCTTTGCCTGTCTATCTTCATTAACCACATCTATTAACTAATGGCTGCTATTCAGTGCTGCTGCTCCCCTGCTCTTCTTTCTCCTTGCCCTCTCCTCACTGCTTCTTACACATTGATCAGGCAGCCCCCCTTGCCTTTTCCCATGCTACCACACAACATTGCTCTAAACTTTGTGCAGTTTTCATAATGTTCTGTCTCCGACAAGAAACGTTAGAAAGGAAAGCTAATTTTCGTTCTTTCTGTTGTCTGTTCCTCCTTGGTGCTGAAGCAATCTCTGGTGCACCCGGGCATGATACATCAGTGTGATGAACTGATCATTTGGTATCAAGTTGTGATCTAGGGTAGGAGACAGGCAAGGGTGTTGAGGACAGCGCAGTGTCTGTAGAGAGTGCTGACTGTAGATATCATACAGATGGTGACAAGTATAAAGCTGCTTCTTAGTTTTCAGCAAAACCCATTGTTTTCAGCCCTCAACCAAAGTAATACTATTCCCTGGTGATTGTGACACGTCTATCCCAAGAGTTCAGTCCAAAAAACCCACCTGTGGCAGCTGTGATGCCATTTCATTCTTCGGAGTGAAAAAAGAGGCCCTGTTGGTGCAGGGGATAAATACATCTGAACTGAGTGTTGGAAGATGCAGAGAAATTTTTGCAGGGATAGAAAAACCATTTTGTGTTATTAGACAAAGTAATGTCGCTGGAAACCTTCCTTCCACAAACAAGAGAAGCTTTTTCTGCCAGGTATGGCTGCTTTTCAGGGGCTAAAGCTCTCATTTCTGTGCCAGGCAACATAGAAGTGGTGTCAGGCTGAAATGGCTTGAAGATTTGGACTAATAGTTCAGGGAGAAGGGCAACCCAACTGGAGAGAGGTCATAGAGTCCAAATTGAGTGGTAAGTCCTCCTCCCCTTATTTTGTGTAGTTTGTTATGTGGTTCTCTTTGTTTTTCTACACCTGTTTGTGCTGCAGGTATCACCATTGCATTAGCCAGTCATTGGATATTGTCTGATGCATCTGCAATCAGGCATAGACTGGAAAAAAATTTCCTTGCCCCAAATATTAACTCAAGTAGCAGAAAATGCCTCTCTGTGAAGAGAATTTGTATGGAAAACATGTGTTTTCAGGCTCTCTGCACAGATTCCAAAATTTTAATGTGACTATGTTTCTATTTTCGCTGCCTTTCAAGTACTTAAATTGTTTCTTCTCTCTAGGCACCTATGAATTGCCTACCCCTTTTCCTACCTGGATTTCATCAATATTTTTGTAATTTTTTAACCGTTAAGCAGGAGACAGTACAACTCTGGGACAAACAAGTGGTCTAGGGTCTACCAGCATTGTCTGTTTCTTTCACCAAAAGATGCTGCCTCCAGGAGATTGGTGGTATTGGGAAGTGATAGCTAGAGAGCAGTGATCCTTGGGTTCATTTGTTCCATCCACATGTTTGACCGATGCTCTGTTAGCCAGTTTTGGAAGAGAAAGACATCAGGTTTGGAAGGTCCATCTGTAATTGTGCTGGATCTCAGGCTGAGGGGCAGCTCAACAGCTAAAGGTTTTGCTGAAATCTTCCATGTAATCCAGACAGACAGTTATTTGTTTTGATACTGCATGCTATAATTTCCAAACCCAGTCAGCAGTGTGTGTTTGTTAGGCTCTGCAGATGATGGCATGAGAAGAATTCAGGGCAAAAGATGCATTTTGTGAATCTTTCCTGTTTGGTTTTATTGCAGCTTCTTATGTGCTTGCAGTATTAACAAAATGCTTTCTTGGACTGGGGTTGTACTGGGAGATGAGATCTGGCTGAGAAGTTAAGATATCTGAAGCTTTCTTTTCTTTCTACAAAACTGTTGGAAAGGAAAGGGATCCAATTCTGGCATGATGTTTCATAAGGTGACATTTGTTATAACTCATTGCAAATGTTACTCACCATCTACAAAACATTCAATTAAACTGAAGAACAGTGAAAAATATCCAGTTCCACTTTAGCAGCTGCGCTTGTCACCAGAATCCTTCAGGTTTTTCAGAGCCAACAGATTCCCCTCTGGAGACCTCTACACGGTGGCTACTGTCCTCTGCCACCCGTCCCACCAGTTGGTGTTCCTGCTCCTGTGAGCCAGATGGTCACACGAGGGCAAAATTTCCCTTCCCATTTGGGCTTATCCTTACTTTCCCAAAGATTTCTTTTGTCCTTAACTTGTTATCAGACCTGTTCTGCATCCTTTTGTGTCTTGTCAGTATTTCAGTGGGAATTGGCTGGACCCTGCAGGGATAACATTTTCAGAAACAAAATTTGAATAATGACCTGTGTTCCTTAGTCCTTTTGAAAATCGGAGTAGTTGGTTATACATGTAGTTTATTGAGACTTCAAGCTCCTAAGTCACTCAAGATTGTTCCTTAGTTTTCAAAGCTTTAGTGGCATAACATTTCCATAGAAAATAAGCCAATATGTTTATGATGGTTTCCATTCAGATCATAGGTCCTTTTGCCTGTTAACACCTTTGTGTGTGTCTTCAGGTTGAGGGATATGTGCAGAGAGCTGTAACTCTGGAAATGGAACAAACAAAAACTTTTCTCATACTTGTAGGAAACCAGGATACTGAGAGAGCACATTTTTTGAGATGCCAAATGCGTTGTTACAGATCTCTGGCTCCCCAGGAAATTCGCAGATGTAACTTTGCTGTATGCTACAACCACCCACTATTTTGCAGTGTCAGCTGGGCTGGAGCTCAGATCCACCCACTCCTGCCGCACCGGGCCCATTACACTGGAACTGAAGGCAAAATGCAAATTGGCTCTGCTGAGCATGGTTGCCTTACGGCATGCAGTGGGATGGTAAAGACAGAACCCATGGCGTCTCACTCCCGGTTCAGCACCTGAACCACAAGATCCTACTTCTCATTATCTCTTTATCAAAACCTCCTCTTTCCCCTGGATAGGGCACTAAAATGGAACAAAACTCTGGCTAATTTGCTGCAGGAAACCATTGAGCTTTGGGCAAGGAGATGGAATAAGTCATCCAATTAGTTATAGCTGCTGGTGTCCACTGGTCCTGATTTGGTGTGGCTTATCGATGCCAAACAGAGGTAGATAAGCATAGCTCCTTTTTTCCTTATGTGTGAATACCTGTCCAGCCCATGTTTCCTATGACTTCAGTCACCTGCTAGACTCTTTGAGCCGTGGGAAGGAACAGTAGTAATTCCTTCAGTTTGCCACACTTGTTCCAGGGCTGGATTGATTTTCTGGGCTTCTCATTTTCCTAGACCATAAACAACATCACTGCCTCTGGAGAGCAAGCATGGCGGCTTTCTACATCAGCCTGTCTTTAGATCTTATTTATGTATGAGGAGAGTGAGAAAATATGTTTAAAAACATGCAAGCTTTAAAAATAAAACTATGACCTAGTCAAAGAGTAAACATTAGGGAAAAATAAAAACCTATTTTAAGAGATGGAAGCAGAGAAGAAGCAGCAAAAATAAAATAAATCTTATTACTGTAAATAGGAGGGTGTAAATCAGCAGCTCCCATCACTGACAGTTCAGAGATGCTGAGGACCTGGCTCAGCAGTGAAAAAGGAGGGAAGTGAAAAAAAACCATAGAGTGGGAAATAAAGCAAAGATGAGAAATCCACCTACCTGCACGTGATAGATTATCCATAAACAACAAGATCATGCTTCTGACCAGATAAATAAATGGCAGAGTGTTTAAACCAGATTTTAAAATTTACTGAGTGTCTGTCATTCTGTGTACCTCTTCTGAGCAGTAGTGTAACCTTTATTTTTTCAGGTAGCATTTTAATGCGGGGTTGCTCAGGGGGTGTTACAGTCACTGTGTTGAGAATAAAACAGCTTAAAAAGGGATCAGAAGCTTTTACCACGATGGACCTTTGGAAGTTTGTCCCCTGTGAGGAACAGATAGGGGTTGCTTGTCTGTTTTGTCACTTAGGCATGCTTCTTCTTTTCCCATAGGTTGCCCGGTCACTATGAACAATGGCCCAGCTATACTACAAAAAGGTAAACTATTCACCATACAGAGATCGGATCCCACTACAGATCGTGCGAGCGGAGGCAGAGCTCTCGGCGGAAGAGAAGGCCTACCTCAGCGCTGTGGAGAAGGGGGACTATGCCAGTGTGAAACATGCCTTGCAAGAGGCAGAGATCTACTACAACATCAACATTAACTGTATGGATCCTCTTGGTCGCAGTGCCCTTTTAATAGCCATAGAGAACGAAAATCTGGAGATCATGGAGTTGCTTTTGAGCCACAGTGTGTATGTGGGAGATGCTCTGCTGTATGCAATACGGAAAGAGGTGGTGGGAGCTGTGGAGCTGCTGCTGAATTACAGGAAACCGAGTGGTGAAAAACAGGTTAGTTGAGTGTTCCAGTTCAGTTTTAAGCTATTATCCACAGAGAGGTGCTGTGCAGGAGTCATAAAACAAAGTCCTTAATGTAGGTCCATTGCTTTAAATGCCCAGAGTAAACATGGGCAGTCCTGTTTGGATGATAACCTTCCAGTCTGAGGAAACGTGTTCTGCCTGACTTAAATAGTCAGCATTTTCAATTTCATTCAGTGTTCTTTTCAGTCTTACAGTGTTTGTGAACCTACTGATTTATAGGTTGATTTATAGATGTGCACTTTGTAAAGGAATTTGGGGCTGTCTGAAATTATATTACAATCTATAAATATGAACTATTGCCATGCTGTTGTACTGATATTAAGTGGAATTTCTTTTCATAAGTAAATCCTGAAAACACACAAGCTTATAAATAACTGTAAGTAAGCAAACAGTCTGCTAGGTTTCAGTACTTAGCCATAGTACAGACATATCATCTTGGTCTCCATCTCCAGAGAGCTCTAGTTCAGAAATGCTGAGGCAGTACATAACATTCCAGCATGAGCTAAGCTGCTGTATATCTGAGCATTGAACAACTATGACTTGTAAGAAGGATCCTTAGCTACAAAACCATTGGTAGGTCACATAAGGATCTTTGTGAAAAACCACAAAGTCTGAATCCTGTCATTTCAGGTGTCACATATCACGCTGTCCTTAACTTTTTTTTTCTTTTTTGCTTCTTTTCATTTGCAAGTACTACTGCCAATAACTAGAATAGTTTATATACATTACTGACTGCTGACAATTTTTGTATGTTCACTGCTTAGAAAGGAACATTCAAAACCTGGATAATCCTGAAATATCAAGCCTCGTTTTGAAGGCTACTTGAACACATCCCTCTGTGTCTGAAAGAAGAAAATGATTAATACCAGTCAATCATAGAAGAAAACATTTTCAATGGATAGGCCCCTTAGTACATAGTTTTTCAATAGTAATTTTATGTAGCCAAAGCAAACAATAAGGATCAACCCTGACAACATTCAGGAGTGCTCAGCTTGATACTTTGAAACAGCAGCATTCTGCATGCTGTAGCAATGTGATTCCAATGTATGGTTTAAGCACTAGAGAGATGAAGAAACTCTTCTATCAGACCTAAAAATTGAAATATTAGTACTAGGTTTTAGTCTGACAAAATGTAAGTAGCAAAGTACAGACCATACATGGAGAATGAGCTATTTTTTTCTTGGTCTTCTAGAAAGTTTGACCATCCTATAGGCCAACAGGACAGAAAGTAGAATATAAGAAAAGCTTTTTTCAGTAGCATGAGGAACTGCCAGTAATTACTACAGGTTAATGGCAAGTTTCTCCTGAAATGTCATGGAAAGCAAGTAATGGGATTCATGTGGATTTCTGTAAGATCTCTTGAATACCAAAACTTGTGTCCACTCAAATTCACAGCCTTGCTGGCTTAACTGAACAGAGGTCCATGAAATAAGGTTGATTTATTGCAGCTGAAATTCAGCTCCAACATCTCTAGTTCAGTGATAACATTTCATAGCAGGTCTGTTTCATTTTTCTTTATCTCTATGGCAGTGTGCAGCTATCCTTCTGTAGCTAGGTTTGTATCTGCTGCGAAGTTTACAACTTGAAGGAGAACATGTGTGTGGGAGAAGAGATGCAGTGCCAGTTTCAGCTTTATTTACAAGGTTGGTTACAAGACCAGATTTCATCAGTACATTAGACTAGTACTGGCTTGATGCAAGATCCTATGTACAAACTAGGATTAACTTCCCTGGCTGTGGTTCAGGCTCTTCTGTAGACTGCAGGAAGTGTTTTCTGGTAGAGGCCTGCAGGACTGGACTTCCATTTCAGCAGTTTCACTGATTGTTCATGCAGTGATGGTAATTAACATTTATTTCATGTATAGTGATAGAACATAAATGGAAAGACATGCTTAGTTAAGCAAAGTTGGGACAAAGTTAGCTTGTCAAATCACAAAGCTAATATAGAAGGGGTTTCTGAACACAAGTTCCTGATGCTAATTCCACAGCAGTATCGATATATGTTCAGTAATTATCTTTTCTGGACCCTTTCTCAGAAAGTCCTCTGGGGATCCTATACCTAATTGCTTTCACAAAAAGCACCTGATAAATCAGATTAGCACAGCTTTGTCCTAATCAGCTACTTATGTGTTCTAAAACCTATACAAAACCTGCTTTTTTGGTTGAGTAGTAACAAAAATTCACACTTCATGCATTGGTTTCTGTCTGGCTGAGAAATTTTTAAGACAGTGTCACAGCGCTTCTTATATATAAGGTTTAGTATAATCTATTCATTAGATGTACACAAGGTTCAGTCTGCCTGAACAAACCCGTGTGAAGGCAGCTCCTTGACTTATGTGTAGCAGCCTGTTTCCAATTAGGGGCTGTCTGTCTTTGCTGCACTCCGGGCATTGGTGCAGAAAAAGCATCTTCTGATTGCTCTCTCTTAAATGTTCAGTACATCGCCTTCATTCATTTGAGTCTGGGGGCTGTGAAAACCTGTTAGTTCCCATTTTCCTGCTCTCTGCCTCTGAGAGGTTATTATTTGACTCTATACCAAAGTGGTGTTTCTCTAACTGCCAGGCGTGAAGAGCTGTTCCTATTTGCGTCTGTTCACGTCAGCTCAGTTAATTGTTGTCTTTGTATCTCAAAAGCAGCTGAGTAGCATAATTCAGCATAATCCATTTTATGGGCATGTATTTTCGCTCATTCCCACAACCTTATCATCGTAGCACAATCCTGACTGAAAACGTTACAAGTTGCATTATGCCAGCCTCTTGTGGGGTTCCAGTGACTGCATCTAGTTAGCAAAAGATACACCCAAAACAAGGTGGAAAACCGTAGCCCCTTACAGACTTGGCCTGCAAAGCAGTTTTGCTCACCAGCTAGAGAGTCTCTAAAAAGTGATGTGTCCTGGGTGCTCCATACCTGTCTCTTGAGGGCTGCCCGAGGAGAGAAGCTCTGCTTTTCCCCTGTACGATGACCTTTCCAGGGAGCAGAAGTAAAAAAAATTTCAAATATAATAAGTGACCTGTGTTGTGTTTCTTATGGAAGAGAATCAGGGTCTTATTCATGATGTAAGGGACAGGGAGAAATGGATGAAGAGGTTGGGTGACAGAGATACTTGTGTCCTGTTGTTAAGTGAACGCAGGCAGTTGTTATTCTGCAAACCTTTGCTAGGCTGCTGTTTAAGCGCCGTTTACTGAAAATACCATGACAATGGCAGGGGTAAGTCATAGCCAGTAACTATAACAACACGCTTCTCCTGCACTGCAGTGTGCATGTAAGGGGTGTCTCGGGAGAGGAAGAAATTATTCTGTTTACATGTGGAGCGTATGAGAGCTGGGAACATGAACCACCTCTCTCTAAATCCTGCTACAAAGCACATGATAGATGAGTGTGCTGAACAGTGATGTGTTTGAGTAGATGTATTTCCTTTTAGGTTTACCTTCAAGCAAGGTTCATGGGCTATTTTAAGAACTTAACATTTCTCCTCAGATCTGTTCTGCCCAGTCCTGACAGCTTATAGCCATGGTTGTGTGTACTGCTCTCTGAGTCTCTTGATAAAGCTGGGGAGAAGACTTCATCAGTTGCAGCCAGAATAACTGGCTAATAAAGTTACAGCTGTTTTGAAAGATACTGTCACTTATCGGAGATTTTCGGTTTGGTGAGAGAGTCATCATGGTCCAAGCATCTTACTTTTGCTACCATGGGAAGACCATAGAGGTGTGCTGGTGTGCTTCACTCCGAGCAAAGAGTAAAGCCCAGGTTTTAAAGGACTGTCCTGGTTTCAGCTGGGATATAGTTAACTGTCTTCCTAGTAGCTGGTACAGTGCTATGTTTTGAGTTCAGTATGTGAAGAATGTTGATAACACTGATGTTTTCAGTTGTTGCTCAGTAGTGTTTAGACTATAGTCAAGGATTTTTCAGCTTCTCATGCCCAGCCAGGGCACCTGACCCAAACTGGCCAACAGTGTATTCCATACCATGTGATGTCCCATCTAGTTTAGGAACTGGGAAGTGGGGGGCAGGGATTCGCCACTCGGGGACTGGCTGGGTGTCGGTCGGCGGGTGGTGAGCAATTGCCCTGCGCATCATTTGTACATTTCAATCCTTTTATTACTACTGTTGGCATTTTATTAGTGTTATCATTATCATTATTAGTTTCTTCTTTTCTGTTCTATTAAACCGTTCTTATCTCAACCCAGTTTTACTTCTTTTCCTGATTTTCTCCCCCATCCCACTGGATGGGGGGGGAGTGAGTGATCGGCTGCGTGGTACTTAGTTGCTGGCTGGGGTTAAACCACGACAAGGACCCATTCTCTTCTTCAGATCAGAGCTAACCTCTCCTCAAATATGCCACACCATGCTCTGAGGTACACTTTCCCTTTTTTTTTACTGTCAGTGTGCAAGTGTGGTCCAGAGGGCCATGGAAGATGTCTGTGTGCAGAGTATGTGGTGCTGCAGGCTCCAGCAGCCCTGCCACTCACCACAGCATAGGTAGGAGCTTTGCTGACCTCAGCGGGACGTGGTCTGGACCTGGCACAGCACTAACAGCTGAGTTCTCAGGGAAATAAAGGAAAATTCAATTATCTACTCAAAATAGATTAAGTAACAAAAGAGCTTTTCTAGTTCTGTGATTTTTACAAGTTCACTTGTTATTTCCAAATGTTATGAAATTTACTCCAATTAATCCTCCGACCTTTTTTGTTTAAACCATAGTTCTCTTTGGCCAGTCACTTCATATTGCTGATTGGTCACTCAAATCATAGGATAGTTTGTTTTTCCCCAGATAGATGACAGACATTTGGAAAGAAAGCAGCCTATTCATTCATAGTAAGAGGAACAGCAAAACAAGCTAATATTCATGGAACCTGGAGGGTACGCAAGTGTTGCTTTTCCTGAGAAGATTTGTAGTCAGTGAATATGTATTCTCCAGGAAATAAAAATAAGCCTAATCTGGTGCTTTGATAGTTATTGTTTGCTTTTCAG